ATAGTATAGCAAATTATTTTTGATATAAGTCTTCTCACGTGTCGGAATAAGGGAAACTGGATTCCCCGTGGTCATTGAATCCAGGGTCAGGATGTCAACCAGGCTGTCTTCCAGCAGGTCAGCGAGCTTGCGGAGACACTCTGATCGTTGTGCGGCCGTGAAGTTGCTCCATGGTCCAGTAAAGGCTTCCTCGGCCGCTGCAACTGCTGCGTCGACGTCCTCAGGTCCGCCAATGGGGACCGCATCGGCCACGATTGTATCATCCTTGGGATTTCGCAAGATGTACGTTTCCTCGCAGATCGGTTTGACGTATCGACCGTTGATGTAAAAACAAGTCAGGTCCTTGGGCTTTGGAGTCGGGAAATTTGCTCCCACCATCTTCGAATGCTATCTAGAAACCGGTGCTGGAAGTTGAAGAGTCACTCGACTTGGAAGGAGGAGTACTTTGATGTTCACTGCTCTTGTCAGTTCCATTTGTTCGAGGATTGACGCCGTTGGCCGACCGGCAAGTGTGCACACGTCCCATATGGCAAGCATTCCTAGAGCTGGCAATTCGGTACCGTGTGCCAACCAATAGACTATGGCGGGACTCCATTCTGTCTGTGGTCGGCTGATGTCTCATGATGGCTTTGCGGGTTCGCTCTATAAAGTTTCGTCTCATTCCATTCATCATCGCCATGGCGAAACTTCCCAGCTGCCCATGTTTGGGGGGGTCATCTGTGGGTCGAAGGAAGAATTTCCGAAGGTGTCGGCGCTCCAGCCGATCAGCACTGCGGCGTCGGCATCCGTGCCGCGTGAAATCTGGGTCCGTCACTGGCTTTTCTTCCATTTGTAATAGTATTATCTACACTGGCTATGGGAATGGTTATCTACTAAGCTTTACGACGGCCGAGCAACACTGGCCCTGGGGGGGGGGTGGTATTCCTTTGCCAGACTGGATCCCGCGATGGATGACATGGATCCACCGAGCAAGCAGAATGTGTCTCTGAGCCTTGTCGCATCCTGTTCCCAATGTAGCCTTCGGCCAAAGTTGCCGCCGTAGCCGGCGTTTGGGGGGTACCCTCATTCAGGTGTTTTCCCATGCTGCTCTCAGAGTGTAGAAGGGCCGACGTAGGCTCCAGGTGAATCATATCTCATGTGCCTATCGCTGAACGAAAACCTAAATGCTGTAAGCTGTAACAGATCTGCTCTCCTTCAAGCACTCTCAAGGCCGATTATACCCATTTTCGACACTGAGACAAGATAACAGGGAATCTATGGTCATTACCTCAATGGAGAACATAGGACACGACATGGACGCCGTTATATTCAATGGGCCTTGGACAATAGACGTGGAGAAGCGTCCAATACCAACTGTGACAGAACCCACGGACGCCATCGTCAAGGTGACATCGGCAGGCATCTGTGGTTCGGAATTGCACATGTATCGTGGTCACCAGAAGACTCCAGTCGGACATATCATGGTGATTGAATCTTGTCCAGCCTTGCCTTGGATGTTATTCAGTGCTCAGATACTAACAGTGGGCATCACATCCAGGGACACGAATTCGTGGGATATATCGAAAAGATCGGACCAGAGGTTCGCAACTTCAACGTTGGGCAGAAAGTCGTCTCCACGTTCTCTCCTGTCTGGTAAGTCATAGTTGGCGTTGTACACTGGAAAGTGGGCTCCTTTGCAAGACAAATGAAGTGGCTGAAGCAACGCGAATGTTTGAACAGCATGTCTTGCTGGTTTTGCCAACACGGCTATCCCAATCGGTGCCCTAAAGGGTTCGCACCATTTGGCACCCAAGGTCTAGCTGGAGGGCAGGCTGAGTACGTCCGGGTGCCGTGTGCAGACGGCACACTCAGGGCGACGCCGGAAAATGTCGAGGATGACCTTTTGATCATGATGTGCGACATCTTCCCCACTGGCTACTATGGCGCCATGAGAGCTATCGAGTTTTTTCGGTCGCCTGATCTGGGGAACGGAAGTGATGCTTACTCCTTTGAAAAAAGCCAAAGCCGCCTGTCAAAGTCGCAATCACTCACAGAGGCAGTTTTTGTTTGCCTCGGCTGCGGGCCAGTAGGCCTCTGCGCAATCCTGACCGCGCGATCCAAAGGGGTGAGAACGATTTACGTCGTCGACAGTGTCGACGACAGGCTAGAACAGGCGGCAAACATGGGCGGCATTCCGCTCAAATTGGGCCAGGACGACATAGCAGAAACGATAAACAAAGCAACGGATGGCCGCGGTGCCGACGCTATCATTGAAGTGGTTGGCAGCAAGTCGGCATTGAGATCGGCTTTTGATATGCTGAGACCTTGTGGTGTCTTGTCGTCGATTGGCTTCCACCAAGGGGATCTTCCCTTCACTGCTCTCGAATGCTACCAAAAGAACCTGAAGTAAGTCAAGTTCTCTCGACCTGCTCTTCGATGGTCGGCTGATCTTCTACAGCATCAATCTTGGACGTGCACCAGTGAGCGCAGTCTTCGACGAGGCATTGGAGATTGTCATGGCAAACAAGGCAAAGCTCGCGAGCATGGTAACACATCGGCTACCATTGTCGGAGGCAGCGCATGGATATGAAATTTTTGAGAAGCAGTTGGCGAGAAAGGTCGTTTTGAAGCCTCAATGATGGAGTCCAGGAAGTTGTTGTTAGATTCGTCATGACATTCTGTAGTCATGCATGTATAGGCTCCCTTGAAACCGCCAGTAGAAAACTGCTTCAAGAAAAGATACGCCAGGAAGGAATGAGTTCCGGGTCTGGCCACCCCCGTTAGGCAGATCCTCTTTCGATTGAAGCCCTCCGGATGTGCTAGAAAAGGAGAAGAGTAGCATTTCGGCCTTGACACCGATGGTGGATCCGGACCAAGACCAGGGAATCAATCATCTAACCAAGTCCGTACCTTGCAAGGCGTGCCACAAGTCGGGCAGGAATCGTACTGCGTCTGGTGGAGCTTGGCCACACTGTGTGTCCATTGACCAAGATTCGTCGACCGCCTCTAGCTGGAAGAACTTGTTCAGATATTTTGTGAATAGTACTTATCATGACCCCCAACCTGCAATTGAGCCCGCAACTCGACCATTTCAGCATGATAAGCAAAGGTTCCATCCGCATTGGAAATGTTTCCGGTGCAACGGGCGACATGCCCACTGCCATGGCTAGAATGGTGGCCGAAAACAACATCGACGTGATTACGGGGGATTGGCTGTCCGAGATGAACATTGCCTGGAACGCTATTGCTAAGAAGGACAACCGGGAACTGGGCTACGAAGTCGGATTCTTCATGCAACTCGAGGAGTGTATCGACGATATCGTTGCGAAGGGAATCAAGGTTGTCACCAATGCCGGAGCTTTGAACACTCAATCCCTCACGAAGAAAGTACGCGAGCTGCTCCGATCGAAGGGACATGATCAGATCACCGTGGCTGCAGTGCTCGGCGACGACATTTCGAATTTGATCCACGACCCGGAGCGGCGGAAAGACCTCCATTTTCCTCACTTGGATCATGCGGAGCGGACATTGGACGATTGGAATCTAGAGCCCTTTTGTGGAAACGCATATATCGGATGTCGAGGCATAGTAGAGGCTCTCAAGGCTGGCGCAAGTATCGTGATATGTGGACGGTGTACGGACGCATCGCCAGTCATGGGTGCTGCCGCGTGGCACTTTGGCTGGGATCTGGAAGGTCAGTACGACGAGCTGGCGGGGGCACTGCTGGCCGGCCACTTGATCGAATGTGGCGCCTACGTTGTGGGTGCCAATTTCTCCGGGTTCAAGGAGTTTCTGGACGACCTCGTTGACGTGGCATTTCCCATTGCCGAGATTGATGCTCGAGGTGGATGTATCATCACGAAGACATCGACAGGAGGTGGCCATGTCACGACCGAGACTGTCAAGGCGCAGACGTTGTATGAATTGCAAGGCCACCTCTACCTCAACCCTGATGTTGTGGCGGATCTCTCAAATATTCAGATTGAGGCAGAGGAGGGCTCGGAGGATCGAGTCCGGGTCATAGGTATTGTCGGCCTTCCACCGCCGGCGACCACCAAAGCAATGTTCGCTGCACCAGGTGGATACCAGGCCGAGGCGACCTTCTTCATCAATGGACTCGACGTTGATGCGAAGGCGCAAATGATGAAGCAGCAGCTGAACCACGTATTCCAGAACCACAGATTCAGCAAGCTGAGCATTGAGCTGTATGGATCCGAGGTAGAAAACCCCGAGAGCCAGCAGGCTGGGACTCTTCAGTTGCGAGTCTTTGCACAGGCCCGGAGGAAGGAAGACATTGTCGCTCCCCACTTTAAGACTCCGATATACGCGCTGAGGATGCAAAGTTACCCCGGCTACCATATGAACCTGGACTTCCGGACTATGGATCCAAAGCCCTTCATGGAGATTTTCCCCGCTGTCATTCCACTCTCCATCATCCATCATCAGGTTGATCTGGGAAACGGAAGGCTGCTCGAGATTCCGACCACGAAGAAGACAGCCGAGTATCCAGCCGTGAGGCCATCGTACGAGTCGGCCGATCCTATCGACTTGGCTTCCCTAGGTCCTACAGCGAGGGTCCCTTTAGGTAGTATTGTGCACGCAAGGTCAGGTGACAAGGCGGACAATTCAAACATCGGCTTTTTCGTCCGCCACGAGGACGAATACCCCTGGCTGAAAACACTCCTGACTGTGAAGAAGCTCAAGGAGCTGTTTGGAAAAGACTGGTTCAAATGCGATCCTTCTCGACGAGTCGAGCGAGTTGAATTCCCCAAAATCCTTGCTGTCCATTTGTAAGTACCACCATGTCATCCCTCACCTCCGTATTTCAGGCGTTGACGCACTTTCAGTCGTGTTCTGGACAACCTCTCCGGTGGCATCGCCTCTTCGGATCGCATCGATGGACTTGGTAAAGGCATTGGCGAATACTTGAGGAGTAGGCATGTCGATATCCCGTTACAGTTTCTCAACCGAGGCCGAATATAAGGGTGCACGTGTGTGGACACAGCAACGCTTCCTCTCGGTCAGTGACCCACTCCGCCCATGCTGTGATCGAGCGTCTGTATCTCAAACAGCCAATCTTGACTGGCTTGTATCATGGAAACGTTGGCAAAGTCGTAGCCATTATAAAGATCCTGCAAGTCATTGAAACAATCCTGATAACTGAAATCCATGCCATTCAAGGCCGTAGATGAGAACAAGTGCTGTCCCAATGTGGGAGTCATTTCAGTCTGCGACATATTTCGAGGTTGCTCCTGATGCAGCACGCCCTGAAGAGGCATACCGCTGTTGAGGGCGCTTCGTGTCTGGCTCTGAAATTCAACCACATCGGTCAACAGCGCGTCACTGAGTCTCCCAAACACCTGATGAGCATTGCGGGCTGTAGACCACCGCTCAGAGACAGCGACGAGGACATTGGAGCAGTCACGCGTAGTGTTGACTATCTGAGTAATGCTTGGATCGGTGGACAAACCGGTCGCCCTTGGTGTTGAGGGACCGACACCATTCGTAAGGTCGCGCCGGCGAAGTCGCAAATGCGACCGGATGGCGTAGATATAGGAGAGACCTGCGATGAAAACGGAGTGAAGGGTGATCGGAGAGTAGTTGATGCGACGCGACTTGTGAAGATATGCATAGATACCAATGGCTTTCTGCGCCGCCTCTAGGATTCGTTGAAGGCTATCGCCGTGTTGGGGGGGCTCGTGGATAGATGGCGAAGGTCGGTACAACATCAAGATTCCATTCAGGTACAGCAGATCATACCATTCCCGAGTCCTGAAGCTGGAGCGATCCGACTCGCTCAGAGAGCCTCCGAGAGGCAACGTCTCGGTGTCAGATCGCCAAGATTCCAGCTCCTCAAACAGCATTCTCTGCCGGTCTTCGTAGTCGATTGAGGAGGTCGGTCGGGACCGGATAGCGTTGTGCAAAGAGCTGAGGATCTTCCCGCAGATGATACGGTAGCGCACAATCTGCAGGAAGATCGCTGTTCGGAGTTGCCAAGGAGGACTCCCCACGGGCTCTGTGGGTGACAGACTGTTGTCTGGGCTGAGAACAATGTTGGCTTCGGCACGTGGCAGTTCAGTGTCAAAGTCGTCCAAGTGGATTGCTAGCGGCCGTCCTAGGGTGATGCTCGTTATTCTATCCATTGCCAACGTGCACCAGAAACATCTCCTCCGCACCTCTGAGTCGTCAAAGGCGTTCTCTTCGAGGTCGGAAGTACCTAGGGCTGGTGAACAGTAGACGGACTCTCGGTGCAGACCTAGCTCGAAGCACATCCTTGCTGCCGTGCCCACTAGATGCCACAAGCTCGCCGAGGAATCGTAAAGACCACTCCCAATTCGATATTGGCACATTAGAAGGACAGCTTGCAGGGCGACACTTCCACCCTTGCCGAGAACGGGAGCGAGCCGACTCATGGCGCGGTCATGGTGTGTCTCTGCATCTGGCATAACTTGCCAGTCAAACTTTGAGACCTGAGCTGTGGCGATGGCGAGGACCATGTCGAGGGTAAATGCTTCGACGTGGTGAGCCCGATAAAAAGAGATATCACTATAGATGGATTCCAAGCTGTTGATTAGTGTTTTGGGGTGAAGGAATGGATAGCACAGATGATCATGGGCCAAATACGCCCTCACCAAACTCCGGGCGAGATTTTCCGGAGGCAGCGCTCCGATGTCTGGAGTGACCGTTTCACCGCGCGCAGCCGACCCAAAAGTGCGAGCTGCATTGTAATCGTCGTCGTCCTGGGCGTTCCGGCCTCTGGTACGGCCGTCGACTTGGAGGAGGCTCGCAAGGAGCAGCCCGCTGGTTGGTCCCAAGTATTGTCGTTCGCCACCCACACCGAGGCTGAGGGACGAGACTTGGCTCGTCACCTCGTTGTTGTTTGTCATCGTTTGCGTCCGGCCGGAAGTCGAATGCACAGCGGTAGAGGGACTGCCGACGCTCGCAAGTCGTTGAGCTTCTCGTAGTTGGCTGGTCAAGGCTTCATTTTTAGCCTCCATTTGCCGAAGACGTCTCTCGAGCTTTTCCATGTCCTGGCGTCGTATGGCAGGGTCTTTGGCGCTGTAGGTACACTGAGTCCCTCCTTTGGCACACGAGGTGCACGCGGGCCTCAGCCGATCACATTTGGATTTTCTCTTGTGGCAGCGATCGCATGCGGCCGGCTTGGAACTGTCATCGGACATCTTGAGACCAGGTCTATGTCTCTGCTACGATCAGCCCTTCCAAGAGTGCCCTAGGAGCAGGACGCTGTTTGAGAGGAAGTAGCACACCGTGAAGCACTCTTTAGAGGGCAATATCGACGGAGACGTATTGCGCCAAACACGGAGAATGCCAATGTCCATCTATGGAGACGGACAATTGGGGTTAAGGGCGGAGGGAGGCCGCTATTTCCCTACCACGAACTGCAAGTCTGGGGGGAGTGATCTCACGTGCCTTCGCGGATAGGTGACCCGGGGGGGGGGGGGGGGGTGGGCGTGTTAAAGCGGCGCGGCCGGTGAGGGGCGAGGTGAGCTCGCCAAGAGGCTGGTGGCGATTCGTGACCAACCGGAGCATGTCGGCTGGTGCTTCCTAGACGGGACATCGTGTTCCTGGAAGGGCACCATACCATAACCACGACGGGTTTCCCGCATCTCTTTCACACAGTGCGGATCTATCCATAGACTGCCTGTTATGTGTGACGGCATCCTTGATGATCCGGGACTGGATGACAAACATGCCATGTCCAGGGCCACGTTTTCTAGAACAAATGTTGACGTTGACTCAAAATGTATTCTCGCTATCATCACTCGTACCTTTGAGGAAACCCTCCGGCCAGACCGGGTATCAGTCGAAACATTCTTTCTTCGCTTGCTCCTTGAGATACGCATCGAGAGTTCCCTTTAACTGCCATCCTTAATGTCATCTTGTATGAGAAAAGCTGTCCTCGACTCGTCGCTACTATGAGCTCTGCACAATGTCGCCCAGATCCACCTGCATTTCTTTTCTTCTCTTCCCATCTTCTTTATTCATCTGCACTCATCGGCTGCCCACTCATCTTGAGACACCCCACCATGGTTCCAGGTGACGTTGCCTGGACATGATGGATTCGTTCAGCATCCATCCTCTGCTGCCCTAGATTGCACTGGGCAATCAGCGTCTACTAAACAAGCTCCACGTACTCGTGGAACTCATCATATATCCACTGATCAATTCCTTCCCACTTTTTCTTCTGGTCTTCTTCGTAGAGTCTCTTTTCTCGCTGAAAGTCGGATTCTTTGCATGAAGTCTCCGCAAGACCATTTTCAGCGTCTACTGGTACGTCCATGAGCTCGATGCCTACCGGGGTTTTCACCACTGATTCAACCGGCGTATCTGCAAACGAGGTAATATCCTCGTATCGAAGACTGTTGGAATCGCCCACTGTTCTAGGATGGTCTGCTGAAGACTCATCAAAATTAGCAGGAGAAAGAAAGAAGTCATCACGGAAGTTCGCCCCATTTGCAAGGTCTGGCAACCCTGGAGTTGTAAAGTTGCCCTGGATGGTGCCAGAGGTTTTCTTTTTCTTGACGACATCAGCCATAGCAACATGCTCGAGTGGTGCATCAAAACACCCAAGGTCAACATCTGAGGTCAAGAAATCCGCGGGTTCGTCCTCTGCTGGGAGCCAGTCCTGGCCACCAAGATCTGTGCCGAAGGGGTCGGTTTCTGGTACGACCTTAGAGCTATTCCTGGATCGAGAGTCGAGTTCATCAAATACTCCTGGCTCACCAAGAGGGAGAGCGAAAGGGTCATTGCCGTCTTCGTCGGAAAATAGGTCGAAAAATTCAGTGTTGGTCTTTGCGGTACTCGGGTTGTGTGCCTTTGCTCTTTTACAGTAGCTGTGCTGAGCAGACTGTAGCAAGTTATCAGAGTTGAATTCGGTATTTTTGGAGTGATGTCCAGTGTCCTCCCGTTCTCGACCCTCTGATAGTTTCGGTCTTTTCGCGGCAGGTTCTTCGATATGCTTCCTGTCGCTGGATGACAGAATGTCCCCAGGACTTCGGCTTCTGGAACACCGTGCATCCTTGGAAATGCTTGTCCCATTTTGTTCTCGCCTGTTTTCCAGATCTGGGGTCGCCAAATCTGCCGACTGCGTGCGATATAGGCTGGCTTGCTTGATTTTCGGCTTCATCACCGCAGTGATTTTCTTTTGGACCTTCTCTTCTTCTTTGAGTTTGGGTTCGAATTTGGGCCTACGTCTAGGCTTTGCCACTCCCTCTTTACAGCATCGGTGTTTGCATTTCTTGTCCCGTTCATTGCAATCATGCTGGCAAGTCCAGCGCCCGCTTGGCAGTTGTACAGGCTCTCGAAAGGCAGCAACATCAGAATCTTCTGCGCGTTCTGGATTTGTGTCTCGACGTTGCTGCGGAACTTCCTCCCATGACTTGCCCCGCCTCTTCTCCGTTTCTTTGTCGACAAGATCATCGATATCCTCGATCACTTCAATTCTGGCCTCACCAACTTCGAGAGCAAGCAGATCTTGGTCGTTGACTCCACCATCGTCGAATTCCTCGTTCCAGCACCTAGATATCCCAACGTGGCCCTCAATCTCTTCTGGCTGCACATTCCCCTGGGTTCGCGACTTGCGATACACTGAGGTCGGAATATTCGATAGGTTTAGTTGGGCGTACCTGCTGGTACCTGCAATGCTGTCACACATTACATGGCAGTTGACATGGCTAGTCGGCCTCGTGAGGTGTAAACTCAAAACCACCTGCTCGTCATTCTCAAGCTTTTTTGGGCTAAACCTCCTAAAGTCCACAAGAGTTCCATGAGATGTCTCGGCTAAAAAGCAGACAGAGAACATCTTCTTGTCGAAAGTCCGGGGCAACTGCTTGTTCAGAAATCCGAGTTCTGCTGTCATTGTGATCCTGACACCGTCACCAACTTTAAGTTCTCGAGCGGTCTCCTTAACCGACACTCTCAGGTTGGGAAATGACTCCAGCTTTTGCAGCAGTTGGTGGCCAAAAGGAGGGTTCTTCCCGAGGACAACTTCGATGCGAGAGGGTTCTGTGTTGAGAAGCGTGTCGATGCTGTTGATCGATGCCGATGCCAATTTTCGAACAGCAACTTCACCCAGACCTTCAACCTGTCTTAACTGGCTGGCTGTATTGTCCCAGACGCGTGCCGCAATGCTGCGTCCTAGTTCGAGTGCGTTACGGGTCGAAATTCCGTCCTCCAAATGAATTTGGCAGTCAATTATACAGCGGATAAGGCGATTTGCGTGAGCAAAGACGGGTATCTTGTCGATTCGGCTTTGTTGAAGATGTCTCTTATAGTTTTCACCGTCAGGTAACGCTGCGCAACCCAGTTCGGACTGGATTAGCAGCGTGATCTTGTGGGCGGGAAGAGCAATATCGACCTTGACTGGGAACTTGATTTCTGGAGCTTTGTTGACTTCTTTGTAAAATGATTTCTCCCCAGCTAACATTCGTACTTCGCGGAATTCTTTTGCTTGAGCCAAAACCGAGAGCTGTCACGACCGGTCAGTCAAACCCTCACCATGGGAATGCCACGTACGATTTCCGACATCCTCGCCTTGGGAGGTAATTGCATAAATGACTTCATTGTGTCAAAACGGACGTAATACCTTGCCATTGCCTCACCGAATACTGTTGAGGTCAATCGAGTATTTTGTGCCACGAGCCCCGCGTCCAGAAGCATCGCGACATCATTCTTGCACAATTGCTCGAGCAATTCATCCCTTGTACTTTCCTTGACCCCTTCTCGAAATTGGTAGTGCGAGGGATTCTTTTCCAGACGGACGTAAAAAAAGGTGCTCTCCAGCCATTGCTTTGCCGTTGTAACGTCATGCACCGTTCCGAGGACAAGTTCTGCGTTGAGGTGCTCGATAAGATTTTGATGAAGACAACTCTCCAACATCTCTTCACCTGAAACCATCTTTTCGTAGTGCGCAACTTTATCCTTCCGAGTAAGGATAACTGCACATGCTGAAGTTTCGAACTGCGGCCTTCCTGCTCTACCAAGCATCTGCATGACCTCTAGATCTGCATATTCTTTTAAGCCATTGTCAGTCCACACTTTTGTTCCTTTCAGAATGACGAGATAGCACGGCAAATTCACGCCCACAGCCAACGTGGAAGTGCTACATATGACGTTGATCTCCCCTTCCAAAAATGCATTCTCGATAATGTGCCGATCTGCTGCACTCACACCGCCGTGATGGAATGCTACACCTGCGGCGGACGTAGCTATTGAGATATAATTAGCACGTGACAAGTTGTGAAAAGTAGTGCGATTAGGAGTATACCTTTGAGATCGGGATTCATCAAGCAGAGCTGCTTTCGGGGTCCCTTCCAAAGATGCTGTAGAGGATGTGCAGTTGACCACATCTCCGCCAACACCTTGGCCGTTGTGACTGAAGCCCGCCGAGTAGAGCAAAAGACCATGACGGGTTTGGCCCGTCCATGCTTTGCAATGATGTCTGGTATCCTGGTTGATATCAGTATGCATTTCACATTCATAGGACTTTCCTACTGGTTTGTCAACATCGACTCGAAAGCGAAATCATTGCCTTTCGGCTCAAATCCGTAAACATGCTTTTTGAGCTTGACAGGTCGAAAACTCTCTCCGAAGACCTCTCTGCGCGCGGGTAAGTGTTGCGACATCGAGTCTTTTCCTAACCAGATTGCCACGTCCTCCGAATTTGGCACAGTGGCCGACAATGCCACCACTCTGATATCGGATTTTAGGGACTTCATCCTCGACACGACAGCCTCGAGGGTAGCGCCGCGCTCATCCTTGAGTATGTGTACCTCATCGACAAGAAAGAGTTTGACAAGCTGCATCAGTTTAGTGTGATCCCTCCATTTTCTAGTCACGCTGTCCCATTTCTCTGGAGTGGTGATGATAATGTTTGCCTTCTGTGCATGGGCCAAGTCATTATGGTCACTATCACCAGTAAGTTCAGCACATTGCAAACCCAGAGCATCGAACTTGTGTTGCCAATCACGATATCTTTCTGAACACAATGATTTGGTAGGGCCCTGGTATACAACTTTGAAATCTCGACCTTTGGATTGTACTACCAGCCTGCAGATAGCCAGCTCCATGATAGCAGTCTTTCCACTCCCAGTCGGGGCTGACACGACAATGTTGTCATCTGACTGGAAGGTACTTTCGAAACATTTTGACTGGATAGCGT